TCTGAATGTCCCCAAGGGTGGGAGCTCCACCTCCTGGGTGGGCAGCCTGTGCCACCTGTTCTGTTCCTGGTTGTGCCTTGTTTGGAGCTCGGCTCAGGGGTTGTTGTTCTTCCCTTACCAGGATGGATTTTTCCGTAGGTTATTTATGAGGGGTGCCAAAAATGCTTGTAGTGATAATGACAACAAATATTGTGCCTCTGGTTCCCCATTCCACATACATTCTTTGAAAAACAAGGTGGTAAATTTTCCTGTAGCTTCCTGAATCAAAAAGCAAAAGTAGGAGAATTTGACTAGGAATGGACAATATTTATCAGCAAGAATATCCTTGAGTCATATTTGGAATGATTTTAGGATCTGAACAATCTTCAGGTTAGTATTTTTTATTTTTCCTGTTCGTGTAATATGTTCATTCTCAGTGGGAAAGAGAAGAGGGAAAAAAAATAAAAGGAAAACTCTGGAATTAGAGTCCAAGTAAAAATTCATTCATACCACTGAATTCTGCAGCAGCTGGCCAGGATTTCCCTGAGAAACAGCATGGGGTTTATTCCTCTAGGTGACAAATGGGGAGACACTGAACATATATTCTGCCTGCAGCCCTCATGTCTTCTTCATGCCTTCACATCATAAATGCAACTGGAAAAAAAATAGCTTTCTCCCCTGTCCTCTGCTGAAAAAGCAAAAAAAAAAAAAAAGGCAAATAAATTATTAAATTATTAACTAGAAGATCAATCATGAAGTAAATATAATAAAGGTTAAAAAAGAATAAAGGTAACATATTTCTCAAAGGGAAGTCTGACCAAAGTGAAGCCAGGCTTGCTCTGGCTTCCTCAGAAGGAATTGCCAATTGTCTTTCCTGATCTTAGCAGAAGGGTATTCATGATGTGTTAGAGCTACAAAGCAGTGGATGTGAGTGGCCTTTCACCATAAAAACCAATATGACTGGTTTGTTTTCTGTATGAGAACAAGTATCTGATTTCACTCATACTTAGTGATTTACAGCCTGGAGTTCTCAATGTTTCATATTTCACCCTCTTAAACCCCCATGTTTTCTCCATGGGGTTATGGCAGTCACTAGATTCCTCCAGCCAGCTGACAACCTTCAGGTAGAATTATCACAAATTTTTAAGGTAAATAAATATACAAATCTAAACATAAATCAAAAATCTTCTCTCAGAAACCCTTTCTGTAGACACTCCAGATTGCAGGTGCATTTGGATGTGTTCCAACCTGTTGTCACCCAAGGATATTTTCCAATATGTGTGGCAAAGGGTGTAGAAATTAAATTTACTGCGTGGTTTAGTAGATAAACTACATCCAATTATATAAACAGACTTAATAATCTATATTTTAACAAGCTTCTTTTCTACTCTGTGTCTACCTTTGAGCTCACAGTGATTTATGTGAGGGATAGCAAGCTTTAGATCAAGGAAGCTTTTCTTGTGCCAAAAAGCAGCTCTATTACACCAGTTGGTTTCTGGGAAAAGAGTAGAGTCCATTTAATTTAAGTGCTTCAGAAGTTTAAAACTTTCAAATAAACATATGTAGCCAAATTATGTGTTCAATAATCAATTGAGCTAATGTGCACATTTGATCGCTTCTCCAATCTGGAGTTCAGATTTCAGGAGCTGGTTGATGCAGTTGATATTTGGCAGAATTTAGCACTTATCAAAACAATTCCAGGCTTACAAAGCAGCAGATTTTGAGCTTAGGAGAAATGCCTGGCAGCATTTCATAGCTATGACCAAGTTCTGATGTTCTAACTAGAGGCCATTAGAAATTTCCTGATCAATCTGGATTCATGAAGTCCAAGAAGTTTCATAAAGTTCACACTGGGCTTAGATATATCAAATCTAAAGTAGGTGTTGAGGCAGATTGGTTCTGGAATATTCTCCCTCTTGGCATGGGATATGGGAAGCTGCAGGTCCTGAGCTTCAACAGGCCAAGCTGTGACCTTTGTGTGACCACGATATTCACACACACTGCTCCATGGCACTGGTCAGCTGCTGCCTCCTGGGAGTTTCCAGTTGACCAGAAATGTGGGGAGACATCACTGAGGTCTGCTGTACAAATCAAATGTGAAAAACAGAGTGATGTTTCCCGTGGGTGGAAAGAAAAAAAAAAAAAGAAATAAAAAGCAAAAAGAAAGAAAAATCAAAGAAAACCCTGTTAAGTTCTGGTCAGCTCCAAATCTTAAGCAAGTTAGAGCAGAAGTAGTTGTCATTTTAAATAATGGATGGTCGTGTTTAAAAGTGGCAGGAGTATCATTCTTTGTGCACAATGAAAACTGATGCAGGGGTGCAGGCACACAATAAAAAAGATAAAGATTTGCAATAATGACACGCTCGCCTCTGGCTGCTGCAGGAGGTCCATTTTTATGAATTAGCTATTACACTGTGCCTGTTTATTGAACATCACCAACAATGTCTGAAATTGCACAGATTTGTGATGAAACATGACTTCTGCCCAAGGAACTTTTTAAAGTCCTCTGCTCTTCCAGCCCACTGGATAGAAACACTGTGGGTGCAACAGCCCAGCAATTCTGTCCCTGCAGAAATGAGCCCTGCATTTCCAGAGTGCTTTTTAATGTATCAGTAGCCATTTACATCTTCAATAACTGTGTTGTTTAAGAAGTATTGATATTCTCAGAAACTCATCAGCACAAAAGAACAGCTTGTAGGTCATAATAACCTGTGTGTCAAATATGAATTCCCTCATTAGCTTCAGCAGCACTGAAAAAAGGAAACTGGATGACTGCAGGCTGTAGTTGCCAAATATTGCTTTCTGAAGACCTTTGTTCTGAATGAAATGAGTTTGTGTTTTACCTGGTGTCTAGAGAGATAATATCTGAGAGCTACTGCCTTCCTATTTGACCTTTGTTCTCAGCACTTTCCAAAAAAAAAAAAAATCTATATGTATGATGGAAACAGGACAAAAAGACTTTCCTTTCTCATCAGTACATAGCCCCAGTGAAATATTTCTCAGATGCATTAGAAAGATAATGTAAAAAAGCTGTTTCTTATTTTGCAAAATCTGGTTTGTGGGTTTGAAACCTTTTAAAGGCATTTCAGAGTTAGATAAATGGGGTTTTTTGTTGAAAAAGTAATATTTTTCATGTAGTAAAGGTTATTTTTCATAAAAGAAACATGAATTTAATGCTAAGGCATCTAATGCTGCTCACAGGATAAGGCTTCACTTTAGATTATCTGTAATTGTTGAGTTCCTGACTAAAGTAACACTTGTGCAGGCATTTGAAGCAGATTCATTTAAATCACCTTGATAATTTCAAGTGCTCTTTGAAATATCACGTTCGTGGCTTCCCACCTAAAACCAGATGTGTGCAGATGTTTTCTCTCTCCCATTTTCCCCTTCCTGCCGCTCAGACCGGGCGAGGAGCAGCATGGTCTCCACAGAAAGTGCCTCCTCCACCTACGAAGAGCTGGCCAGGGCCTACGAGCACGCCAAGATGGAAGAGCAGCTGAGGCACGCCAAGTTCACCATCACGGAGTGCTTCATATCCGACACGTCCTCGGAGCAGCTCACGGCAGGGACCAACGACTACACGGACAGCCTGACGTCCAGCACGCCGTCCGAGTCGGGCATCTGCAGGTTCACTGCCTCCCCCCCCAAGCCTCAGGACGGAGGGAGGGTGATGAACATGGCAGTTCCCAAGGCACATCGCCCAGGTGAGGCAGCAGGGACAATGTTTGGGGCACCCCGGGGAGGGTTTGATGCCAGGGCGAGGCTGGGAAGAGGATGGATCACAATGTCCCCTGTTATTAGTCACAGATGTAGCTGGGGTGTTGTATTTGCAGGGGTGCCAGGAATGATGCATCTGACTCCATCTTCTCAGAGGCTAACTTATTGCATTATTATACTATATTATATTAAAGAATACTATACTATACTAAAGAATACAGAAAAGATACTGAATGCTAAAAAGATAATAACAAAAACTCGTGACTCTCTCCAGAGTCTCAACACAGCTTGGTACTGGTTGCCCATTGAGTCAAAACAACTCTCACCAGAATCCAATCAGAAGGCTAATTTATTACTTTATAATACTATATTATATTATACTATATTAAAGAATACTATCCTATACTAAAGAATTAGGAAAGGATACTTACAGAAGGCTAAAAAGATAGTAATCAAAACTCGTGACTCTTTCCAGAGTCTCGACACAGTTTGGTACTGGTTGGCCATCGAGTCAAAACAACTCACTTCAGAATCCAATCAGAAGGCTAATTTAGTACTTTATGATACTATATTATATTAAAGAATGCTATACTAAACTAAAGAATACAGAAAAGGTACTTACTGAATGCTAAAAAGATAATAATCAAAACTCGCAACTCCTTCCAGAGTCTTGACACAGCTTGGCACTGATTGGCCAAAGAGTCAAAACAACTCACACCAGAATCCAATCAGAAGACTAATTTAATACTTCATTATACTGTAATATAATAAAGAATGCTATACTATACTAAAGGACTCAGAAAAAATGCTTACTGAATGCTAAAAAGATAATAATAAAAACACGTGACTCTTTCCAGAGTCCTGGCACTGGTTGGCCAAAGAGTCAGAACAATTCACACCAGAATCCAATCAGATGGCTAATTTATTACTTTATAATACTATATTATATTAAAGAATACTATACTATACTAAAGAATAGAGAAAAGGTACTTACTGAATGCTAAAAAGAGATTAATGAAAACTTGAGACTCTCTCCAGTCTTGACGCAGCTTGGCACTGACTGGCCAAAGAGGCAAAACAACTCACACCAGAATCCAATTAGAAGGCTAATTTATTACTTTATTTTATACTATTTTGTATTAAAGAATACTATTCTATACTAAAGAATACAGAAAACATACTGAATGCTAAAAAGATAATAATGAAAACTTGTGAGTCTTTCCAATGAGTGAAAACAACCCACAGCAGAATCCAATGAAACAATCACCTGTGGGTAAACAATCTCCAAACACATTCCACATGAGCACAACACAGGAGAAGCAAATGAGATAAGAATTGTTTTCATTTTTCTCTGAGGCCTTTCTGCTTCTGAGGTGAAAAATCTTGGGTGGAGGGATTTTTTCAGAGAATGTGAATGTCACACTGGGGTTTGTGCTGATGTTTTTTTGGGGCTGCCTAAAAACTAGAGGTTAGACGAAATTAAGGGAGTAAAAAGAAGTTGTATTTATTGATAGGCCTTCAGGTACATTTTGGACAGACAAAGCTCTCCCAGGAGCAACACCCAAACTGGATAATGGGTCATGGTTTTCATACTTTTATAAGTTTGGTCCATTTGCATATTGGTGGTCAATCTTCCAATTACAGCTTCAGGTAATGAAGTAATTTACCCCAGTTTGCTCCCCCCAACTCAGTTTTGTTTCCATCTCCAGGGGCCTGAGACAGTGAGGTGTCCTTGATTCCCAGGCCTGGAGAAGAATTGTTGTGTCTGCCCAAAATGGGAAAGCAGCAGCTGACACTGGATATTGTGTTTAGAGTTGTACACTAAAGAATTGCAGGATGACAAATATATGATAAATATAAAAGCTAAAATCCTAATCCCAGCTAATGGAACATGTGAGCATATTCTCCCACATACAGAAAATGTGGGAATTCAGGAGCAGGAAGAGGCTGGCTGAGCCATCAAATCCACTCCTCACACTTGCAGCCATCAGGCCATTGACCCTCTTGGGATAAATAAGACCATATGTGGGTGCATCTGCCCATCTCCAGCTCCAGCCAGCCTGGAATAAACCCCCTCTCACTGTGCTGCCTCGTGCTTGGGAGCCAAAGCTGGCTCTCATTAACTGCTGATAAAGACAGATTGCAGGAGATGAGCCTGTCCCTTCTGCCTTGTGGCTTGTCAGAACTTGTGACAACCCTGGAGCTGTTCCACTCCTCTCTTTGACATCACCTAATACCAAACTTGGGATGTCTAAATCAGGAGGGAACAAAATAAAGGAGAAAATTAAGGTTTCAGCTCCTTGCTGCCTGAAGGTATGTTGAAATGTATTTACAAGGGTTAAGCCATAGTGTGCACCAGCCAGCCTGCTTCTAAGTTTGTTATCAAAGCCTCCAGAATTCATCAAAGCTACTGAAAAATTTTACTAAATTATAATAAATAAATTGTACTAAATTAAAAATATAATAAAAATTATATAAAAATAACACAATAAAATAAAATTATAAAATATAATAAAAATTATAATAAATAAATTGTACTAAATTAAAAAAGAGACTAAGAAACCAAATACCAAGACCACAAAAACTAAATAACAAAAAAGTATAAAACACCTAAACTATAACCAATCATATACTCCAAAAAATACAAACAAAAACCAAATCAACAAAACAAAAACACCAATCAAAAATGTATACTTAATAATTTATAAAATCTATAAATATATATTTCATAGAAACAATAAACAATTAACACTTAATCATATAATCAGTTATACAGAAATCCTAAATTCCCCACAAAGATACTTGAGGTACATCCAACTCTTGGGCTCAGTCACATTTCCAGATCACAAACATGGTGTTTCTACTGATACCTTAATTCCCAACAGCACAGGCAGGTTATTTGTGATACTCTGAGATCAAGCAGGTTATAAAATCCCAGAAGATTTGTCAGTCTTTTTTACAGGATACAGGATGTGACACAGCAGAGTAGGATTCAAATGGGGAAAAGGCATAATTATATTTGTTTGCTTTCTGACTACATGATTTATTTTGGTTTGTATTATTTTATTTTCTTTTGCATTATTTTATTATTTTATTCTATTTTGTTTTAGTATATAATTTTGCCAGTGTGAGTGCTGCTACTCAGATCCACAGAAAGTAATCAGAGGTGCTGATCTCTGTGAGAAAGAGTAATGAACAATCTCTGGAGGGTCTTTTGTTCAATATTCACCATAACAAGCAGTGGTTGTGAGGACAGAGGAGTGGAAGGGAGGATCAGGAAGGGTCATTCAAAAGCAGGAACGCTGAAAAGAAAGCATCAAGGGTTGGGCTGGAGAAAGCTAAAAGAAAAATGTGGGAAGAAAAAGCCCAGGCAGAAGAGAGACAGTTATAATACTCCAGGCAGGAAATTAGTGTGTCACACAGATAGATAAGAGGGAAAATAAGTAAGAAATAAAGTAGTGGGAGAAATTGCTGATTTCTGTGTAGTCACAGGGTAGAACCACAAACCCAGGAGCTGTAGAAATAGATAAAGATAGGAATACTTTTCATTTCTAGCTCCAAAGGAGTAAGATAAATATTTGTCCCTGCTCTGCTAAAGGGAAGCAGCTGCATTCACAGCTAAGTCAAAACTGAACTCTTTCCTTCCAAGCAGTCAACAGATATTTTTTATCATTTCTTTAACAAATATCTTACTATCTTTCCTTTCATGTTCCAAGTGCATTAATTTTGCATATTTAGTATTTGGAAATATTGTAATGTATTCCATATAAAGCTGATTTTCTTGAGGGCAGATAAACCCAAAATTTGGTCCCTGTGCTTGAGTAAAATATCTTCCAGGAATAGCCTTAGGGCCCCTCCACTGATTTACAGACTTGTACTCATGTTTAGCTCTGTTATTTTTAATGGTTTTTTTTTTTTTCCTTATTTTTCTTGATTAGCTTTAGCTTTCCTTTGCAGCAAAGAAATTAAATATATTATGAAATTAATAATTAGCTTCATTAACCTGAAAGAATAATTGAATGTTCCAGTGGGGCAATTTGAATGTTGGCCCATAAATATTGAATAATGCGTTATTAAAGGTCATTTTATGAAGGGTTTTAAACAAAACATATGGATAGAAAGAACTTTCAGCAGTAGCAGACAGAACAATATTTTAATTTTCAAGTCAGTGAGGAAACATTTACTGGGCATCTTTCTTATTTTACCCACCACTTCAGAAATTTGCCAGAGGTAATTTGTAATTCAAATACAATTAATCAAAGTCATTCTCCATTTAAGGACGTGGTGAAGAAATAAAAAACTTCAGGTATTTGGTTTCAGTAGACAAGAACATTTGAGATAAATCACTGCGCTGCTTCAGCACACTTTCATTCTTCCTTGAAGTAAATCTTTTCTTTCAAGAGAACTTTCACCTGTTTTCATGGTGCTTTGCTTTTCTTCTCAGCCAATTCAACTTTCCTGGGAAAATGTCACTTCCAATCACTTCTGCATCTTCTACCTAATTTCTGTCCTCCCTTTTCAAACTGTTGCCTGTTGCATCTTATGGGTGCAGTAAAGTTTTGAGGGTTTGCAATAAGTACTGTTTGTTTTTCAAAATAATTCCCAGCAATTACAAGACAGCCTGAAGAAAGACTGTGAGAAAAAAACTTATTTTGATAAATGGGGCATTTGGAAATGAATCCACCCAATGGCAAAGCTGCAAATTAATTCTCAGAAGGTAACTCTCAGGAGTTTGCTGGTGAATTCCTGGGATGGAGATGAGGCTCAGAGGCTTCTTGGTTCCTGCATCTTCCTTTTTGTCCTTCTCTTAGACAGGAGTGACATTTGCTTTTCTCCAGTCTTGAGGCTCTTCTGCCAATCCCATGATCACCCACAAGCTATTGACAGGGACCTCAATGGCATCTGCCAGTTCTCTCAGCCCTTGTGGGCACACCCCATCAAAGTCCCTGCATTTACACATATCCAGCTTGCTTAAGCACTCCCTGAC